GCAGGTGTCCACGTTGCATACAGTTATTCAGAACGTTGGGCTTGCAGGCTTCGACAAGCAGCTTGTGTCATTGTTCACATACTCGCGAGCTTCTTTGGCTTTGGCTTTGCTCTCTGCTGTGGCATGTTACCAGACTTAGACTGGGGTACTTGCCGTGCAAGGACTTGAACCCGGGATGTTTTCGCTTTTTGTTTCCGGCTTCTACTTGCTGCCGAGATGGCAGTCTGCTTCCACGATTCCGCACATTCACTGAAATATTGCTTCCCCTCTTTCACCGAGCCCGCTGCTCCACTTATTCAAATTACTCATTGGTCACCCCCTGACGCCGCCATTGGTGCTGGAAGTGATTCATTGCCAATGCCTCACATTTCCCCCGAGCCAGTTCAAGCCTGTCTTCCGCAAGTGGACCAGCGTGATCCTTGCACCGCCAATTCATATTCACCTCACAAAGGCGGTGTTGGAGGTACATAACTTACTCATGCATGACATGGATGCATCGTTGCACCAGAGAACCAATCGCTATTCCATTTCTCCCAGAAGGACGGTTGGGACCTACCCAGTCGCTCAAGTACGCAGCAGACAATGCCGCAGTGTGCAGCCGCACCTGTCGTCAGAAGTCAGCTACGCATCATGAACTTCCGTTGGTTGGCTCCGAAAGTGGGCGGGCGCGCGCCAAAATTCTCCATGTGCCCAAGGCTATGTGCGCAGTGTCACCGCCAACGGAAATACTTAGAAACCTTTTGGGATGGAGCGAGGACTTAGGGTGCAGAGACACTTGGCTGGGGGGACGGACTGTGTTCGCCATGATAATCAGGGTTGCTAGGAGCCGAAGAACAAGATAGCCATCCATTCCCTCTAGTGAAGTTCATGGCCGCACGGAATTTTTTGGAAGCGTGAGCGTGAGATATGGCCAGGATCCCAGTCTCTACAAGGCACCAGTACGCAGGCGCGCCTAAAAACCATCCACGCGCGCCAGGAACAATTCGATACTTTGTTAGCGATTAGCACAGGTTGTGCTCGGACCCAGTTGGTGGTCGCTGAGATGCATAAAACGAGCGTCAATGCTTTGGCAGAATCTCCGCAGACGCACCCTCGATCCTTTTCGTTTTGTCTAGCTTACCAGAAGTACCGCTCCATTATCTATGGTCGCCATTTCTACGCTTTTTGCCATCGTCCTGGTTTTCGTCCTATCAACCCAGGCTACTCCTTCCCTGCGGAGGTGGCCTAGCGGCCCGGCTCAGATGAGCGAGGAAGAGGCGAGGACTTTGCGCGGCTCTACGATTGGTAGCTCTCTCCTCAGCCGTCAGCAGGGTTTGTGTCAGTTGATCAATATGGATCAGCTGAATGCGATGGGTGATGCTCTGCAAGATGTCAAGGTATGCGTCTGAAAACTTCAATCTGATCCTCGATGAGTTACATTGAGTCATCAATATCAGAACTTTGCTACAGTCAACTGGGGTGGCGATTGGGACAGCATAAGAGTAAACCCCCCTAACGTACGTGCACTCATCAGTACCACCGGAACGACTCCATTGACCCGAAATAGTTGGACGGTCCAGCACAAGCGTGCTACCCGAGCCCGATGCACTTCACGGCAACGTGGAATTCCAATCCCATATGCTCGAACTCAACCATGAACCTCACCGGATACATTGTAGGTCCTTCCGCCCCCAGCTATGTTACAACAATTCATCGTTGGCCCTTATGTTTTCTAGGCAGAGGGTTCCACTTCTGCCCAAGTAAATATTTTCCAAGGCTCCTCGGTCAGCGCCTCGACCACGGTTGAAAGTAGGTCGAGATGCGCTAGCATCCACCGATACCGCCATTGATACACCATATCCTAGCTTCTACTGATATAGGTCACTCAACCCAGTTTACAGCTGAGCTTATGCTTGGGTTCCTACTCTACTCAATCTCCGGTGGGTGAACCTCTTGATTCACTGAATTCGCTCTCTTCTCAAATCAGTTTCAACTCGTCAGAAACTCTTTCCGTCTCCCTCACGAACACCAAAGGCTCCACCACTACGTCCACGAATGATGCTCGCTCTACAGTGCAGGTCACCGTTACTTGCAACGGCCCGGCTAGGGTAGAAGTGGACGTCAGTCTCCAAACCTGCACGGCCCAAGGCAATGTCAACTTCCCTGTCACGCTAGGTGGTTGGGTGTGGTTCCACTATAAAACCAAAAGGGATGGCCATTACAACTGTGCGTAGATTTCCGCTCGAATAATGAGAGGAATCCCCTGATGCCCCTGTTCATTCGGTTAGGGGGCGTTAGTCTAGATGTGTTCCCTATTGAACATCGTCAGCAAACCTTATCAATCTCCGTTAACGCAAACACACAAACATTTGGTCAATTCTATGGTAAGCTTGACTTTTCTCGATGAGGTAACCTAACACTGACCTGGCTGCATATCGGAAGGCAACTGCTCCGCCGCTCGAGCTCTGTAGTCCGGCTAATGGCATCAGTTGTCGCAGCGCCTTTCATTTTTCTTCCCTCTTTTCTTGACTTATCGATAATTGCACAGACCTTGTATTGGGATTATTTTGATTGTACTCATTTCTGTTGTAATATATCTCGTTCTCCTCCAACTGTTGCCACTTCTCATAACTCACAAGCCGGAAGCCGCACTCGGTGGAGGTTCGGGCCTACTATCGTGCTACTCCCCAGAGAACGAAGGCGTTCTATTCACCTAATCCTGTACTGGATTTACAGTCTGAATCTCAGTGCCGTGAATGCTCAAGTTGCAACAGCAGGCCGGCCATGACCTTTACGGGGACGGGTTTTCATGGGACACTCACTTAGAACACCTCGTCTCAGCTTTGACCATCTCTTTGATAATGCGGCAGCCAGCCGGTTTCTCAGGCCTCCACCACCCACCTGAAGTGGGTACCGGTCCCTGGGTTAGAGCCAAGACGGCGTGAAGGACGACTCAATTTGACACTGACAACATCAAGGGCCAGATGTGTTTTTACCGCCACCACCTGGTAGCCACCTGTTGCAGCAACTGGGCAGCCGAGGCTGACCGTGCAGGAGATCGTTGCACGTGTGTGGGACCGCCCACGGATGCACGATGTGAATGGCTTCATGAATACCCCTTGCAAGTGGTCCTCAAGAAAGCCATCCAGCTTTCCGTAAACATGGAATTTACCAAACACCGTGCAAGTATGGTGGGTCTTCCTCGGACGGGATGTGAGGTGTATTGAAGATATGAACTAGCGTCGCGTAAGCGCTCAGTTCTAGATACGTGAACTGAAGGATATATTGTAGTTACCTAGCGTCGTGTAAGCGCTGGTAACATATTTACACATTGTTAGCTATTACTACATTGTGCAGTTAGATCAAGAGTGTCTCACCTCAGTTCTAGATACGTGAACTGAGGGAGAGAGAGAGAAAATTTTCGTCCTCGTGGCTTTTAAGCCATCCACGACTGTGTCCATCAACATGGACTCCAAAAACGGAAGCATCGGGCAATCCTTCAAGGAAACTCCGTGCGCAAGAAATATGGTCCGACGGACTCAATGGACGGTCCACAGCGTACCAAGAAAAAAGAGATTTCAACAAGGTGGGCAGGTCCCGGGAGAGATGATAGAAGAGTATTGTTAGTGCTTTGGAATACGATATCGAAGCCAAAAAGATGACCGAAGGAATTATTGGGAGAAAGGTCAACGTCCCACATACCTTGCGAACGGACACACGATCTACATGATTGTCCGTCATTCCTTTCTTGGTTACCCTTTTCCAGCCACATCGTAGAAGGCTTAAAAGCCTTGACTTTTTCGCCCTTATCTCTCTCCCTCAGTTCGCTTGTTCAGAACTGAGGTGAGCTTTCTTGTCTTCGCCATCTTAGTCGATGACTAAAACCTTTGTAAATATCCTAGCACTTACAACGTGCTAGATTCTCACAGGAATGCCAGGCGTCATCTGTTTGGATCGAGGCACCTCGCAATTCCCGTGGTTGCCCAAGTTCAAGCCTTAAAGTTTCAGTAATAATTTCAACTGCTAAAACCAACCATGCAATAAGTATTTAGGCTTAGTGCATAGATGCATCTTCATGGTGATGAGAATCGCCCCCCAGTATTCTGGAACATGTATTCGTTCCGCTCAGCCTGAGCGACAGCTTTCCAGCAAGCAAGCAAGACTCTCCTGCTGGACGTTATTGGGCCCATCCCAGCTGTTGCTCTCGCTACCCCTGAATGGTCCTTGACATTTAGAACCGCCACGGCAACGTACTGTCCGTGGTGGAACACACAACAAAGACACCTGTTCGAGGAGGCCCGTCCCTTCGCGGGTTCTTTTCTGGGCGTCCCCTTCATAGGGCTTTCCCCTCCCTCTGAGTACGGTCGGGTCCGGGTATGGCCGGCGATGGGAGGTTATTTCCCAGTTCTGTTCTTTGCGCAATGGTTGTAACAGTCCTCTTAACCCAGCGTTGAATGTCGAGCTGTCAATATATATAGAAGGTGTGCTTCGAATTGAGAGAGGAGCAGTAGGCATTTTTTGGCGTTCGTGAGGGCGGCATGGCGGCCCTCGCTTGGCTGATTATCGAAGAGAAAACTATGGAGCCACAATACGAGAGAGGATTATAACAATTTCCCCATACCATGTGAAACTTGACGAATTGCGAATGTTGATCGCGGCTGTTCAGACCAAGGTGTTTGCACAGCCCTGTACTAATGATAATGGCCTCTATTAGAACTACGTAGTGCCAGCAAGGAGTGCAGTTATATCCATAGAGGCTGGAGTGCTAGAGTGAAATCTGATGATTTTTGTAAATGTCCGTCTGTGTGTATTTATATGAGCGGCCCAACTGAGGTAACTCCTGTGCAACTACGGAATTGGTAATTCCCCCTCCACATAAACACCGGCTGTGCCTGGCTCCCGTGACTCGTGATTACAACACGCAGTTCTGCTTACCTTAGCTGCTTTGTAGCGGAGTTGGCCGAATTTATTCGTTTATTCGTAGGCGCAGTAGTTCAATATATTCCGTCGTCGCAATCTCCAGGTGTCAAAAAAAATCGGTGGCTGTGCAGGCCAACGATTTAGGGGGGCGGTCATAAATTTGCTGCCAATTTTGGATGATCACAAGACCCACCCAAATCGGGCGCTCCTATTTCGCGTGATATCCCCTCATCGAGTCATTTCCATTATGGTCCGGTTTGGTCCGGCAATCTCCACGGAAGGTATACTTATAAGCACCCCCCGCAATGACGTTACCTGCACCCCTCCAGTCTTTCTTTTACGTTCAATGCCAGCTCCCATCTCCCGTCGTTTCGACCCGGGAAATTACTGGGAAGGCGTGTCTCCCGACCAGGATGTCGATCCGAACAATGTCGTTCGCTATTGCTTGAAGCAGCACCATTTATGTTTGAGGGAAAGGCTTCGTAGCAAACAATATATGCCCCACACCTTAGTAGTGTTCGTTGATGGCTCCTATCAGTACAATGAACATCATGGTCAACGTATCGGTGGCTATGGCTGCTACTTCGGGCCTAGTTCGCGCTATAATGTCAGCGAGTGCCTTCCCTCGAACCGACCCCAGACAAGCAATCGTGCTGAACTCCATGCTTCAATTGGAGCTCTTCAGACAATTCGTGACTGCATTCCTGAGTCGAGTCAACCCGAGGATGTTGTCGTTATCACCGACTCCCGATACGTCTATCGGGGAATCACTGAATGGATCTTTGCGTGGAGAGCTAATGGATGGATGCGTCGGGGCAGGCGACGTGTCGAAAACCGCGACCTATTTGAAAAATTAGATGCACTTGTGGTTGAGTTCGGTCAATGCGGTGTCTCTGTGCGTTTTTGGCGTGTCCCAAGAGCAAGGAATACCAAAGCCGATGAGTTGGCGCGAGAAGCCTCGAGCGCGCCCTGAATTGAGTTCCGTGAGTGCAGGAAATTGACAATTTCCTTGTGCCGAATTCCCCGAATGCGAGCGTTAACTTAATACATGTATACGACCGATTATAACGTCTGCAATAATCGTGTTCTGTTACCACAGACGATCCTACCCATTCGCTAGCCTTTGTCGGAACATCCACCTTTCCACTCCCATCCCAAGTCTTTCGTTGAAATCTCCTCACCCTATACTGGCCTCGTTTTGTTCTAACTACAGTAAGCAATTTTACCCTATTCCTCACCATATTTCAGAATAACTAACGACCTCCCATACAGTCCCGATCCCCGTTTCCAACTCGACTCCATGCTTCTCCTGCTTCGATGCGCTGCTTAATTGCCTCAACAGGTGTGCAACAACTAGTGCCGTTTCGTTGGCGCGTGATTAATAATAATCCATTGCGGTTATCGAATTAGGCTTCATATATCGACTCTCCTTGTCTGCTGTTTCCATTCCAGTTTTCCGAATTACCACCACCCTCCTTTGCCTGAAGTTTTTTCATCTCCTTTTCCGAATCCCAACGTCCAATTTATCAGATGTACGAACTTCCTTTCCTGTCCATTGTTCAATTTTTGATCCTATTCCCGACGTTCGTTAATGCCCATGCAAAGCTTTCCCACTGGAGCTTTCCCACTGGGTTTTGGTGCTGGCTGGGTATTGTTCTATTTCATGGGAATTCCCATGACCCTTGCAAGATATTCATGACACGTAACCTTATTACGGCTCCCCCTTGACTGTTGTATGCTGCCGTTGTTTTTCTGCAATCGCGTTTCCTGCTGGCCCATTTTGGGCCATCTCCACTATCTCCTGGCCGGAACCGATTGGACCCAAAGTTTCTTGTGCCTGCGAATCTTTGTGCTCTCCTCAATGAAATGTTCTCTTTTTTGTCTCTATGCACCACTTCCGCGAATTGCAATCTAATGAATTGAAACGGCCGATAGCCCAACACGACCAACTACATAGCACCAATACCAAGCTGGTGAGATCGAAAGAAAGGGTGATAAAATCGCACGGATGAGTTATACATTATATATATATATATATATAGCATTGCTCGCGATCGTTAAATATAAATCATACAGACGTGGCAGAGAAACGCTGCGGAGTTCGTAAAGACAGTACATAAAATAAGAATGAAGAAGTGTGGGCAGAGAGGTGGGCAGATGGGTTTGATGACCAACATCGTACTCTTCCGAGGGGCTAACTTCGAGGTGCTGCGGCTCCAGTTGTCCTGCAAAGCTCGTCGATGGCAGTGATCTGTGGCCCTAGTTTCATCACCCGAAAGAAAGCAATCGCGGATCGTACATCCTCGCGTACGCCAACATTTGGCACAGGAAGGGATCAGTACGGCCTATGAGAATCCCAAGCGGCGGAGCCATGATGATCGTGGTCTCTCTCGCTTTATCTTCTGCCTGGGAGTATTGGGTGGTATGATGGACGTTTTGGATCTCGACAACCAGGGTTGTTCCAGCGATCGCAATCCTTGCTGCTTTGGAACCCCTGGCATGTATGATAAAGCTCGCTGGAGTGGAGGATAGGCGGGGCCGGTGCTTGTTAGGTAGGCATGCGGGGGTGTCGGATAGTAAACATATTGAGAAAGTGACGGATCAGCCCAATGAGGCAGGTATTGGGTTGCGACATATTGAGGAGGCTGATGGTATGTATAGTACTGGTAAGGAAGGTACGTCGTGTAGTACGACATGGAGGCCCAACTGATCGCCGTCCAGCACAACTAGTGATGTTTTGCTGGCTGACATACGGTTCTTATATGGGTTGGGGACCCAGGGCTGTGCGGGGACGTGGGAAAACATGGAAAAAGGGGTTTACTAAGTCAGTCACCGCCTCCTCTTCTGAAAGCTGCTGTGTTGACATAACATTCAGAGAGGGATAAACATTGACCCTGCCTATCACTAAGCCCAAAAACTAAGTGGCCAGCTGTTGGCCGAAGGCTACACCCAATCCCCCAAAAGATTGAGTGCGCAATTATGACACGGGCGCTCAGCCGTTTAGGCTTAGAGGTGCGATAGTATATAGCGGCGCACCGATGGGCGTGGCTATATGTCGAGAAAAATTGTCCTGAAAGGCAGCGTGCAGGATCACTCCGACAAACTCCAACTTAGAAAACAGTGGATACTGAAGGGGTTACATCTCCTTGTTGAGGAAGTACATATTGCGATAGAGGCTACAATAAGAATTATATTATTGTACATCATCACTCGAGGAGATCGTCACGTCCTCCACATTTTCTACATGAACTGCGGTTATTAGAGGCATATGACCCAGCTGAAGTGGTGCAAAAAAGTGACAGATCGACCGCCGGTAGTGTTGGTGAAATTAAGTATACCCTTCGTATCACTTGCTGGTGGTTGCATATCTTCTGCTGGATTACCAGTGATAAGCGCAGAACACGTACGGAATGCGGGTGGCATGACGATCTCCCATAACAGGTAGTGGCAGAACCACGTAGACATCGAAAGTGACAGAAGGGTCCGAACCCGAGTAAGAAAGGATCAACGTAGCACTTCGAAATGGCGGTTTTGTTTCCGCTCCAGAGGTCAGTGGAACAGGGGAAAGAAAAGCGCGGACCAGGGGACATCTTTAGCCGACGATATAACTGAATGAATTCATGAATATCCACGACGTGCAAATCCAGTGGCGCTTTTCCCCGGACCACATCAGGTACTCTGGTAAGGCAAGAACGAGTCAGATCAGGACACAGTCATCCCAAACTGGATTGAGGCATGAACACAACTTGGGTAGCTAATGATGTAAAAACCCAGCAAATCCACTCAACTGGATTAATTTCCGCAATATTGTGCCTGATCCTTTGTACATACAGTACCATGTTACAGTGTCTTTATCTCCTGATGTAAGTAACTGGACGTGTCTTGATTCGAGACTCCTCAGATCAACTTCATTGAGATCTTGACAACATATTGGGGGATAAGTCTCAAAATTGGCAACGTGTCCTGGGCAATTTTCGAGCGTATGACCGAAACCAAGAGAAAGGATATGTAATTTCCAAAATTGTTCTGTCTCGGCAAGCTTGGGTTGCAAATGAAAGATTTCAAATCATCTTTTTTCGTAAACGATTACTGGGTGCCATTGCCGTGAATCCTCTCGGGAACGGACGTCAAGCTTACCAGGAAGGCGGGGTCATTCTCTGTGATCGGGTATGTACGCGAGTCCCGCGCGGAAGGTGCATGGTTACTCACCCAGATTAAGGTACCCCCGGCACCATATTTTGGCGAGGTCGAAAGCGTAGAGAGACACACCTGGGTATCATCCACATTTACGTCAAAACAAATTAACGACGCCTATTCAGTGGTCCGTGTATGCATAGCTGTCACCAAGGCAATGGACAACAACAGGAAGCTCTGTTGGATATATTGGTAACTCACCGAGCGCTATGCATGATAATATGTTGCTATGTAATGCTCTGACGTGTCTTCCCCATTCGCCATATGCATGAACCGCTCTAGAACCGGACATACCTTGTTTCTTTAATCTCGGATGCCCTGTTGAGCCAATCGTGCAACCCTTACGATAGGTACAGATGTAGTCTAGAGCAAGTTCCGTTCGCTCAGCCCTTTTTTGCGGATAATTTGCATGATGCCCAGAAAATTCAGAATTTACCGACGGGTGTTAGAAGACTGGGCAGGAGTTGCTGGACACGTAGGTGCGAAAGGGCGGGAAAACCATGGGTCAGCCGCCAACCAGGGCCGGAGGGACGAGGATGCAATGACAACAGACAATCATCTTGTTCCTGCCAGCCGCTACTTTACAATCTCATCCGATGTAACGTGAGAAAAGAAAAGAGATAAAGTGGCCGAACTAATGTGGGGGAAACATAGGTGGAGATCAGCGGGGCTACATGCATCCGAAGACACAATGATGGCACTGGGCCGTTAGAAGGCGAGGGAAAAACTGCAAGAAAAAAAAAGCATGAGCACCTCGTATATAAATAAGAGTGATGAGAGCCGTGGATATCTTGGAGAAATAAATCCCCGGAGTCCGGACTGCAACGGCAGGACAGAAGAGGGTTGCGGTGCGGTGATGACCTGAAAAGACAAGGAGATGCACGGTCACCGTTAAATTAAGGAAATGGGTTGCCACATGGCAATCGGCGAACGACAGTAGCACTACCCCCAAGAGGATGCCTGGGAAGAAACAATCGGGGCAAGCTGTGAGCGGTGATTCAAGGAACAATAAAGGCCATGCCATACCGAGTAATTTCTTTGCTTAAATTTAGTACTTGTAGCCATTAAGACGGACAGCCCGATGGTGATGATGATCACCACCATCATGGTGATCGTCGTGACCGAGACGATGAGAGGGCTTGGGATGATCTCCACCTTTCGTTCCAGTTGGCTTGTGGCAGCATTGGTTGCGGAAGTCCCAATCTCCATGAGGGCACGAAGGATAGCGGGGCCTGTTGGTCTTGGGAACGCAAACCTTGTAGTGTCCACTCCATGCCCAACCCTCGGGACATTCCTTATCGGATCTATTAGATGAGCGCGGGTGTTAGCGTTAGTTGGAAAGGGGGAGGAGTAGAGGCACATACGGGGAGTCCCCATCACCATGGAAATTCTTTGGGAGACAAATATGAGTATTCGTGCCGGGGATGGTCCCTAGTAGATAAGAGGGGACAACGATAAGGTCAAGAAAGTCAGGAGGCGAGTGGACTAACAGCTGAACTGGGAGGATGAGCATCCATGACCATGACCATGGGCGAGAACACAAGAGGCAGCAGCAAACAAAATGGAAGCAACGGCGATGAAGCGCATGGTTGAGATCAACTGGCTAGTGGTTTCGAAGAGTGGGAGGATGTAAAGGAAAGTCTGCGTGTGTTACGCGTCACGCTCGCTAAAAGAAGGGAAGGAGGGTCTAGCAGAAAATTTGGCAGGCGTTGGTTAGTTGTGAAAGAGGGTTCCTTGCGTTGGATCGGGCCATTATAAGGAGACCTTATCGGCATCCCCCGTTTGTAACTTTATTTACCTTGTACCTGCCAAGCGATGGTGTTGACAACGAGACACTAATTAACCAGTAGTCAAGCAATTGTATTGATCCAAAGTTCCGTTGACCGTTTTTGGTGGAGGTTCATGATGCCCTTTGCCTAAGACTGCGCTAGCTTCTCCTAATCTAATCATAGTGCAGTAACACCTACAAATTGTTGAAAGTGTTTTGATTAGGCGC